ACCAGTTTTTGCAACATCCACCATCGATATGAGAACCCTCTAATACATGTGTTTGATAATGGTTTATGCCGCCGCTCAACTGATCCTTCAGGTCCCAACCATGAACGCGGCTCAGATTTATGCGCGCAATGGATTTTCGGGTCTCATGCTTCCGGAGAAGCATCACGTGCACGTGCTTTCTTGTAAGCTAGCTCCAAGAGCAAACAGATGCTAGAAGTAGGCCCAAGAATGATTAAATACAGGGGCCCAGGGGCACAGCATCGTGAGCATTGGGAGTCCGTTTCTCACTTGCGAGTGGCGGCTTTCCCACCTTGCGTGGGGCCATTGGCTTCATGAGGGCTAGAATTCTAGGGGTTTGATGACAAATGTATGGAATTATGACGGTTGGCAAGGGGGTACGTCCGAGGCTTGAAAGCATGTAATGTGCCTTTGTGGAATGGAACACGCTTCAAGGTGTCTTTGTGGAGTGCCACACCCGTGATCAGGATGATGCAGTCCTCCGGCAATGCTTTCAGTATCCGACCCCTCGCATGGTGTCAACATTAAATCGAGATTGAGGGGTTGCTTTCATGCACTACTCTGCATGAGGCTATTACTGCAGTTCTCATGGCAAGGCCAGCCCACACCCTAGAACCCCTAGAACCCCTGGAAGCGCTCTGAAGCCTGCGTTGAACTGGAGCATCGCCAGGACTGCCTGCTCGTGAAAGTCAGCAAAACATTTCTAGGCTTTCAGTCTCCAGCGGTTAAAGACGTCTTATTTGCCATGCAACTTGAAAACTGAGCTATGTATAGCCACTTTACACTAAAAAGGCCGCTCTCCAGCCTCCCAAAAGCTCTTGGAATAACATGGAGCGTCTTGACCAGCATGGCCGGGCTTTAAAGATGAGAGTCCGCTGATCTACCTCTCACAAAGGTAAACGCTTGCAGATTTCTCTGGAGAGTTCATGCTATCCCAGACTTATTCCTGATGCGATGTCTCAAGCAAATGCTGAGTTGGCGGAACATGCACATGCAACACGAGAACATGCTCCCCTCAAGACACTGCAGGCGGTGAGTGCACGGTGTAAGGCTTTTCTTCTAGCTGATAGGGGTCTGGACAAAAGGTCTGGCTGTGGAGCGTCCGGTCGACAAACCAAATCATAAATCCAAACATCCTCTCAGACTGGACGACTAGTTCAGCTCCAGCGGTGCCTTTTGATCTACGATTACCGAGATACAAGAGATGTGCAGCCTCTTGGCTACCACGCTAAAAGCTCTCGCTTGGCTGCCCGCTGCTTTGCAGCTGCGCTGGATTGGAAAACATGGCACCAAATGCTTGTCAAGGTGAGCCTCTCCGGTCATTCTAGAGTCGAGATCTTGTGTGTACAGTATTGGTGCCTGCCATAGCAAAGTATGGCATTGACTGTTACACCTGGCTTGCACTCTCGACAATTCCGGGCAGTCTAGACGCATTGCCAAACTTGCCTGCTTCTGCCACTCAATGCATGCATCAGCCCTTCACGTCTGGATGAGCATGAGATTCAAGAGAGTTCAATCAATCCAGGGAGAATCTTGGAAGACTTCTGTCGTTAGAATCTGGCATCCCAGCCATCAGCAGGATCAGCTGTATATGGAATGAAGATGCCTTGCAAATGTTCCAACACTGCCCACTCTAAGGAATCCACTGCTCTGTACGAACTCATGGCACTTGCTGCCGCGGCGCTGTCAGATGGGTCCAGTCCCAGCTGCCCACGATCCAAACCAAAGTCATCCGTGAAAAAATGTTCCGGATAACCTGCGCAGGTACTGCCAAGCACAACATGCAACATCCGAACACGCGTACAACATGCAGCTCTCAAACTGCCGCAAAGCCGCTCCACTGCCTATGGAATGGTGTTGGGAGCTTCTGCTCATGAAATGCCTTGAAGTCGAAAGCCAAGGTCCTCTCAATAAGCGACATTGTGACACCTTTCTGCAAGCACATCGTTTGATTTGCACCGTGATGGAGTTGTCCTGTACATGGCATGGTCCCTCACGTCTTGGGCGCCTCCACGAGCTCCAAGGCGATCATGCGGCCTCCCACGTCGTTCCACATCAAGCATGTAGCGAACACCCACACGAGCAGATTTACAACAGCTTGCCCAAGAAGCCGGCCGAATCTGTAGTAATTCAGCAACAAAACCTTTGCACTGGACTGGACATCTGCTGAAGTCAAATTTCATGCGTGCTTAGGTTGCAGCCCTTTGCAACTTGCGGGAAGTGGAATGGAAACTGAAGTGGTCCTAGCTCCTCGCACAGAACAGCATCGCGTACAAGCCCCAACCCATGCTCCCATGTCCGCCTAAATATGCTTGCATCCGATCCTGGCTTCGTCGGATGGCCAACAGCCTCTCCATGGGATCAGACACGCCTTCATCTGTAAAAGGCGTATGTCCGCTCAATATCCTTGGATGAACGAGGGTGATTATTAAGCTGCTGCCGCGTGGCTTTACAGGGATGAAAGCATCAACTAGCAATGCTTTTGTTGCTGGGTGGGTTGTTGATTTACGGCGCTTTTGACGGGGTTTCTTCCCTATCAGGGGTGCGCACAACATAGCTGAACATTAGGGACTGCAGGATCTGAGGCGCGTCACTTCCTACAGCATCTAGAGCCCTTCTGGCACGAGCCGTCCATGCAGTATATAAAAAAAAGCACCGTTGTAGTATGAGACCCAGAGGATTGCATCTCTTTATCTACACGAACACTTCGCTAACACCTGCGCAATAACTCCTCGAAGTTACATTTCGCAGATTGACATAGGGGCCAGCATAGATGATCTTGATGGCCGCAGTTGTGAAATCCGTTGTTGGGGTGGGTTTTAGGAGTCAGCATGGGGAAATGATGGCAACTTTGAAGTTGAGGAAAGTAGCCGATTATTGTAGACATCGATATACCCCTATATGCACCCTATCAAATTTTCCTCTAGACCCGTATAAAGAGCACCTACGCCCCTCGACCACCACGCCTATAGGTAGAGCCGTATGGACCCCTATGCAGGGTCTATAGGGTGTGGGATAGGCCGCGGCATAGGATCCTATGCAAACTGGAAAGGGCCCTACCTCCCAAGTTACAGGACCACAGCAAATTGGATAGGGGCCTTTCTCCCAAATGTGCAGGACCTATGCAGATGGGATAGGGGTCTCCTCCCCAAGGGAGAGACCTATCCCAAAACCTATCGGGACCTATGCCTTTATTCCGATATTGATGTCCATATGTGTTGTGTTTCTTGATGGAACTGTTGATGCAATCTTATAGAGTGAACTTTTGACAGCAGTAGAAATGCTTTCAGTACTGGCTACATTTCGTCTACAGGCTTGTCTAGGACGGGACATGCTCAGTTTGAGGGTTTGGGGTCGTCTAAAGGTTGGGTTTAAGATTTACTGCAATGCAGAGGGAGTGAGGTTACCTGGAGTTTGTGGTTAAGGTTCAGGGTTCTTTAAGTTTAGGGCTTGAGGTTGCTTATGACTCAGGGTTTGGGCTTTTGGGTTTGTTTTCTGTACGACTTAGAGTTTGGGGCTCATGTTTTTGGGGGGGTTGGTGCTTTTTTAGGCTCAGGCATATGTGGGGTTGCGAATTGTTCAGTTTGAGTTTTCAGTTTTAGCGGTTGTCTGTCTTGTTTAGGGCCTACGGATCAAGGCTGGGTTCTAGCGTTTGGGGTTTTCTACAAGTTCGGCAACTGCTCGGGCTGTTCGAAGCTGGGGGATTGGGTTGTTCAGGATTTGAAAACCTTAGCGATAGAGCTTCCGTGTTCTGCTCCTGGTTGCTTGAGTGACCTTGTCGTTGGGTCAGGGCCCTTCCAGAAAAAACCGGACATTTCCTACAGGGGTCTATGCGCAGGACGGCTGGACCCGTATGAATTAATTAATTTTGGATATGGGTCTATATGCTGGATAGGGGCCTCCCCAAGACAGGTCTATCCCAAGCTATGGCATGGAAACCTGCCGAAGCCTCCCACAAGATGGATCCAGCTCACAAGGCTAGGGGTAGAGGTCTATCCTTGTTAGGATAACCCCTTGTCAGATAGGGGTAGATCATACCCGCCATAGACGACAGCTTAGCTGAACTAAAATTACTGAAGAGTTCGCATGGTGAGGGCTTGAAGATCAAAAGCCAAGAGCCGAAGAAATGCAACAACTGAAAACACAAAACCCACATTGATGCAAATCCACTAGTTGCGTAGTGCTCACCTCAACGAAACTCCATCAAAACAAAAGCACGAACGGGTGTGGGAATCGGGAAAGCAGCAGAAGACGCGTTCCATAGTTATTGGCGTTGGTATCGTACGTGCGTCTTGGCTGTGTGTGTTGCTGTTATCTTGTTTTGTGTTGTTGCGTGCTGTGTTTGTTTTGGCAATGTTCAAGCTTCTTAAACCTGAGGCCACCCCTAATCCGAATCTTTGACGTGACAGTTTTCTGTTTAGCTTCTCTTTTGCTATAGATCTGTGGAGATGTTTTGCATCTTTCTGAGTTTTGTTGAGTTTTCGTCGCTGGGGCTTACCCATGAAGACTTTGCTGAACACCCGCTGCAAGACCCGCTCTCCAAACGAAGATGCCCTAGACAACACACTGTGGCTCCCACTTGTTGATTCAGGCCGCAAAGGGATTCGTGTTAAACAACCCTCGTTTCCATTTCATTGCCCATGTGCTTTTACATGTGATGCTCCATTATCCCTATAAACTCTATATGAGCTATAGTCTGAACTCCTAGTCTCCCTCTTAGTAACCCTAACATAATCCCCTATATAACCCCCTTTAAAGAGTTTAGACTAGGGCTCATGTAATCTCTGCATAATCCCTCCAAGTGCTGGGTCGGGCTTCAACGCCTCGAGCAAAGATAGCTACACGGCGTTCTTGCTTGCTTCCATTGTTGCTTCTTTCTTTCCTGCTTTGAGCATTTCTGCATGTAGTTCTATCCTTCTTGATTTGTGCGTTGCTTTGCTGCTGTTTTTGTAACTTCATTTATTGCTGCTCTGCTTCTTTGGCCTTTATTGCCCGTCTGTTGTTGATGGCGCCTGTCCAATTTGCTTTGCTTCGTCCTTCGTCCTTTGTTTGCTTCTGCCTTACTTGCATCTTTCACTCCCTTTGACTACCTTGTTGCTTGTCTCTCGGAGTCTCTCGCTCTTCATTTATTCTTTCTTGGTTGTTTCCATCTTTTCTGCGTTCGCTGTTGTTGGGTCTGCCGTTGTCTCTGCTCATGAGTATATGCCAGAAAACCACTACAGTAGAAACAAAACAGTGAAAATACAAGGCTAATGTGTCATGATGGGTCGTATTGAGACAGGCATCTCAAATGTGAGAACTCCCAACGCCCACCAGTCGACACTGCTGTTATGCGTGTGCGGGAAGTCAATGACTTCCTCGGGTGGATGTCTCACATCATGTCACATGATGCTTGCTACTTACACATCTGTCATCAAGCAGAACCTCAAGCAACAATGAAGCAAGTCGCCGGAGCCATGTAATCTGGTGTTCCGACCTTATCGGCAGATAGAATGCAAATCCACAGGATCGTGCTCCGGCTGCTGGTGCGAAAACCTGCAACTGAGATTTCGACCAGCGTGTTGGTCTTGCTCAGGACAAATCGCGCAAAACCCATGTCACAGACCTAGAGTGAAGTTGAAGCTTGCGAGTATTGCGACAGGATGGGCTACTTACCTTTGTGCACGCGATTTTGCCAGCTGAAGGTTCACAGCCAACAAGGCATGGCAAATAAACAACTGACAAAGAGCCGAATCTGCCCGAATGCATGGGTTCTTCTCCGAAGTCTCTGAACTAAACATGCCAAGATATACAGCAAATAGGTCTCAAGCCTTGGCATATCCGTGCTCATCTAGCAGGGCATTCTCCGGCTTGATGTCACCTGATACAACCAGCTTTGGCAAGAAGATTCCGGCTGCAGAGATTTGAGATGCATTGAGGCCCAGGCGGTGCACGATTCTACGCTCGTGCAAGTGCTCAAGTGCCTGCATAGAGCGACCAGCATCCAAACACGTGTGCGAATCCAAGTAGCAAAGCTTTCGGCACGTGCATGCAGAGCTTGATGGTCCCTGACACTCAATCACCAAGCACATCTAAACACTGAACGCCCCAGACCCGCAGCCCCAGAAGATCTTGAACAACTGAGCAGAAACCTCACAAATAAAACAAAGCAGAAAGAAGACCCTGACCGTTACGAAAGCAATGCCGTCAAGAAAAGCGTCAACTGCTACAATCCCTCCTCGCTGCTTAGATGCTGGGCCTGAGCCCAAGTGCCGCAAGCTACTCTCCATACCATGTGAACCCGAGAGATCCAAAACCATTGCTGGAATGTGACCTGCTCGCTGAGTCAAGCAGTCTGTTGCTAGTTCAACACTTCCGTGGCCTTCCCTGATGGAAGCCCGCGCTCACAGCTCAAAACCCAATTGAATATGGTAAAACAACGCTTGCAGAAGATATCTGTCCTTGATCTCTGAGGCTTAGGCGGCAGTGACGCAGGCTGCGTAGAAGGCTCCAGACTGGCCTGCTGCGGCAGTAATGGCGCTGTTATCTGGCTTCAGGAGGGACAGCATGGATTTCCCTACTCCTCTGCCGTTTGTGTCATCATGTTGTTATCTTTGCGCTAGCTCCGTTCTCATGGTACTAAAAGCAGAGGCTGAAGTTCTCCAAGTGACTAGCAACACGCACTCGGCATCAGCATGCAACAGCACTTGGAGCATGTTTGCATACATGCCTCAGTGGATCCCCAGCCTCGTGAGGCTGTAGGGCTGAGGGTTTGAAGGATGGCAGCTTTCGTTGGCAGTCAACCGCGCTGTGTGCTAGGCAAGCTCAGAAGTCACAACTAATGCACACGGATTGTGCATGATTACAGTTGCCTGCTTGTTATCAAGCTCGACAGGTGGGAGAGACAGAGTCAGACGATGTCAAGCGCAACCGTCACGACGAAGTCTTTGCGGAGTGCGGAACATGTTGGAAAATGCAATCATTGCACATTAATGCACGGCAACGATGTGCTTAGCTTGTCTGTCATCGTTGTACGGACGGAATGTTTCCTCGGCGCTAGCACTTGAAGTCAACGAAACAGAGTCCTGGGACAAAAGCGGACAGGAAAATGTCACTCTTGGCACGCGCATTTCCGCTCAAGGCTATGGAAATGTGGGGCAGGGCTAGCCTTGGCGCGGTTTCTGCAAATCACTTTCGTGTCAAAGCCTCCAGAACCCCCAAGCCAAAGCTGTAGGGTTTCCTAGGTCTTCCAGTCCAGACTTGCAAGAGGTGACCTGAGAATTACTCCATGATACTCCCACTCCTCGCTCCTGCTGTCAGGCCAGGCCAGAACGTGTGCTCATGTTGCCAGTAACCTGAAAGCATCTTTCTTTTTCTGCGTGCCCGTGCGCAGCAAACGCTGGGCCACTAAAAAGGCGGTTGTCGTGAAGCCACCTTCAAGTCATAAAGTTGCGTTTCATTTGAGACCTTGTTGCTTACCTTGTTGGTGTATGTTGGTGTCATTGTCCGCACGGTTTGACAGCGAATCGAACAATCACTGTGGCTTGCGACTACGCCCACACTCTCAGCAACAGCAGTCAACGAGCGAGAGCTGATTTCAAATGCTTCCAGCCGCGATATGCAATCCAAAACCTAAAGTCTGCTCTTGGACAGCAGCAACAGGAGGTAAGCAACGCCGAATGCCTCTAGGCATGTCCTGCACGAAGATCTCTGGATGATCTTTCACAACCTAGCAGCTTCCAACACTTTGTTGAGAACGCTGCGGATTGGCATTCCATCTACGTCTGTCCAAACGTAGCACTGCATATCTGGAAAAGCATTGGCCTGCACGAGGCTGCCGCCCAAAGCAGCTTCTAAGAGGAAGTATACGTGCTGGTCGTCTTTGAAAGTCCTTGCAAAGATGTTCAAGGAGATGGACAGCTATGCTTGCCTGTCAGGCACGCTCAACCAACTCAGTGGGTGGCTGCAGTCAGCTGAAAAGAAGGAAGTAAAACAACACAGAACGAGTGAGCATAGCACATGTTCGCATCATGTTTGTGTGCCAGACACACAAGGGAGCTTTCAATGTTGAAACTTCGCAACAACCTAAGTCCCAATGTCAAGCCAACGGATAGCCTCAAAACGTCAAAACATAAGCAGCCAATTATGGATGCTGCACACGCTTGCTTCGTGGCCTCAAACAACAATCTAGAAAGAGGAGGCCACAGGGGCAAGCTAACTGAGAGCCATCTCCCATCACCACCACACTTTTCCGCATCTCGCGAGTTTGCCAAAACACTGCGCTTCAATCCGCCAAGATCGATAGCCTGCTGCTTTTGATCGAAACCCTGGAGGTCAGTAAGCAGAGCACCCATGGGTACCCCAGCGGTGGTTCAACACCAACCCTTGCTGCCAACCCACCCACCAATGAAAATCTAGAGGTAGCATAGAAAGGCGATTTCGACTGTGCACTCAATCATTTTCTTGTGTGCTGCGCACCAGTGAGACTCTAGCCCCTCTGCAGCTTGCGACCACAACATCAAATATCCGCCGACCCCGCTCTGC